GGGGTCGCTATGAGTCGAGGCCTACTCGACGGCAAACAACAACAACAACAACAACAAAGGGTACTAGCTGGGATGGAGGTGGACAGGCCTGATGGAGGGATCCTAAACCAAGGTCATTGATAGACAGAGGACTACACTGGATGGGATTTATTGTGATGTCGATAGAAGTACAGTCACACTAACATTGGACTTTTGTGTATATTACTATTTTTATTTTTAAATGTTATTCAGGATTATACATAAGCTCCATATGGCAGAGCAAGCAATTATCTTGTTCATAGTGTATCCCTAGGTTCCGGCAACATGGTGCACAGAAGAAAATTACCAAATTATCTGCTGAATGGCAGCATTCAGGCCTCAACTCACATTTCAGCAAATGAAAGATAAAAAAGAGTTTACATACTCATTTCCACAAATAAATGAAGAGCCATTCTGTCATTGATTTAATGAAAATATTCTGATTTTTTTCCTAGATTCCTAATCTCCTAAGGACACCAAATTAATCATAAACACATCATTTAGCAAAATTTCTTGGCGCTGACAAATAGTATTCAATCACAGCATCTCACTTGTTGCTCACAGCCCATGACACAGATAAAATGGTTTTCCCCACTGACAGGTGAAGTGTCAGAGCTGAAAGAGTACACAATCTATGTTGTTGTTGTTGTTGTTGTTGTTAGGCACCATCGAGTCATCTCCAACTCATAGTGACCATATGTACAACAGAATAAAACACTGCCCAGTCCTGCGCCAGCCTCATGATCCTTGCTATACCTGAGCCCATTGTTGTAGCCACTGTGTCCATCCATCTTGTTGAGGGCCTTCCCCTTTTTTGTTGACCCTCCACTTTACCAATCATGATAATACTTCTCCAGGGAGTGGTCCCTTCTGACAACATGACCAAAGTAGGTGAGACAAGGTCTGCCCATTCTCACTTCCAAGGAGCATTCAGACTGCACTTCTCCCAGGACAGATTTGTTAGTTCTTCTAGCAGCCCATGGTACCTTCCATAATCTTTGCCAACACCACAATTCAAAAGCATCAACTCTCCTATGATCTTCCTTATTCATTATCCAGCTTTCAGATATGAGACTATTGAAAACACCATGACTTAGTTTAGGCACACCATAATCTTCAAGAAGACATCTTTGCTCTTCATCACTTGATAAAGGTCTTTTGCAGCAGATTTGCCCAATGCAATACATCGTCTGTGTCTTGACTGCTGCTTCCAGTTGCAGACTGCAGTCTTTAATCTTCATCAGTGGTTCAGTCATCTTCACTTTCAGCAAGCAAAGTTGTGTCATCTGTATATTGCAAGTTGTTAATGAGACTTCCTCCAATCCTGATGTCACATTCTTCTTCATGTAGTCCAGCTTCTTAGCTTATTTGCTCAGCATACAGATTGAATAAGAATGGTGAAAGGATACAACCCTGACTCACTCCCTTCCTGATTTTGAACCATGCAGTATTCCCTTGTTCTGTTCAAATGACAGCCTCCTTGTTCCTCATGAGCACAATTAAGTGTTCTGGGACTTCCATTCTTCTCAATGTTATCCTTAATTTGTTATGATCCACACAATCAAATGCTTTTGCATAGTCAATAAAACACAGGTAAACATCTTTCTGGTATTCTTTGCTTCCAACCAAGATCCATCTGACATCAGCAATGATATACCTTGTTCCACATTCTCTTCTGAATCCAGCTTGCATTTCTAGAAGTTCTCTGTCGATACACTGCCACAACCATTTTTGAATTATCTTCAGTAAGATTTTACTTGCATGTGATATTAATGATATTATTCAATATTTTGCACATTCTGTGAGATCACCTTTCTTTGGAATGGGTACAAATATGGATCTCTTCCAGTCAGTTGGCCAGGTAGCAACTTCCAAATTTCTTGGCGTAGTTGAGTAAGTGCCTCCAGCAGGGCATCCGTTTGTGGAAACATCTCATTGGGTATTCCATCAATTCCCAGAGCCTTGTTTTTCACCAATTACTTCAGTGCAGTTTCGACTTCTTCCTTCAATACCATTGATTCTTGATCATATGCCACCTCCTGACGTGGATGAACATAGACCAATTCTTTTTGCTACAGTGATTCTGTGTATTCCTTCCATCTTCTCTTGATGTTTCATGCATCATTCAGTATATTGCCCACTGAATATTTCAATATTGCAACTTGGGACTTCAATTTTTTCTTCAGTTCTTTCAGCTTGAGAAATGCCAAGCGTGTTCTCTCCTTTTGGTTTTCTGACTCCAGGTCTTTGCACATTTCACTATAATAGAAAAGTCTTTAAAAAGACAGGAAAGGAAGAAAAGACTAAAATAGATGTCGGAAGAGACTCTGAATCTTGCTCTTGAATGAAGAGTAGCTAAAACAAATGGAAGAAATGACAAAATAAAAGAGCTGAACAAAAGATTTCAAAGAGCAGCTCATGAAGACAAAGTCAATTATTATAAATGTGCAAAGACACAATCTATAAAGTCAGGCAAAACTGGTTCCAAGTTCTAGTTTTGTGGGTAGTTGTGTGACTTTCAGGCATTTTTAAAAACTCTCTGTTGTTATAACATCACTGAGGAATACTGACACACCCTTTCCATGGTTTTGGTGAAATTAGAGATGATCTGTATAGTCATCCTAGTAGAGAAATTGCACTCAAAGTTATCATGACCTATGTCCTCTACGTTCTGGTTTGGTGAAAGTAGCTTTCCTCTGCCTGGAACAGCTATCTCACCCTTTTCCTCTGGATAAGTACTTCTTCAGAGCTGTCAGGCATGACCTTCTCTAGAAAGATTGTTCTGACCCAGAAGTCTGGGTAGGGGCCTCTCCTCTGTGCCAATGGTTCTCAATCTTTAGTGTGCATTAGAATCTCTGGGAGGGCTTGTGAGAAGTGGTTGTGGGGTGTCACGTCTCCCAGGACTTCCTGGTTCAGATTGGGAGGGAGCCTGAGAATTTGCATTTCTGATGAGTTTCCAGGTGACCTGATGCTACTGGTCTAGGGAGCACATTTTGAGAGCATTGCTCTATGGTCCTATAACAAGCTGAGCACTAACATTCACTCAAACATACAAGACTGTATTTGTCCACTTAAGCAATGCCCACCCCCTAAACACACACACACACACACACCATTACAAACACTTTTTATAATCTCTTCATCCCAAGTACCCAACATCATGTCTGGCACTCAGTATCATTGAATATATAATTATGGAATAAATGAATGTAATCAAGGCACACATTTTACTGCTGGTTGATTCTTAAGCCCAGAATATCTCTAGTAAACCATTTTTTGAGTGCTATTAAATGAGAAACAAAATACTCTTGGTATCTATCCATCACTCATCTCCAAGGTACTGAGGTCAATCTGACTAGTAAGTGAGGACCACCACAGTGAGCATGGGACTTTACTGTGAACCTCCCAGGACTAGTTCATCATCATCTTTTGGCATCCTCAACCCTTCCTGTGTTTGGAAAGTAGTTGGGACTGTCCAAAAGAAGAGCTATTTAATCACCAAATGAAATGATTTCACAAAGTCATGTGACAGAAAAGGATCATGTTCTTAAAACACTTTAATCATTACAGTCCTATTAGTGTTGTTCTTAGATGCTGTTGAGTCAGTTCCAACACACAGTGACCCTGTGAACAACAGAATGAAACACTGTGTGGTCCTGCACTATCCTCACAATTGTTATTATGTTTGAGGTTACTGTTGTAACCACTGTGTCAATCCATCTCATTGAGAGCTGTAGTAAGTGACTTTCTAATAGTGTGAAAGCATCAGGCAAATTGCAGAAAAGTAAGAAGAAGGTAGCTATTTATACATTCAATGCTGTCCTTTTTAAGAGGAAAATGAAGTACAAAACAAGAGGTAGAGGCTCAGAACTCTGGTGGCATTTTTTAATCAGTCACTTTTGCATGCATTCCAAATATGAGGGGTTCTATGTCTAAATTAGGAGCTCTGGTAGCATAGTGCCTAAGGCACTTGATTGCTAACCAGAAGGCTGG